TTGTGCTTGCCAGGTAAGTGTGGTGCCACTGAGCTAAATCCCCAGCCCCTTTTCTAGAGTTTTTTTTGGGCAATATATTTCTAAAATTCACATAGTCTTTGTGTGCTTTCTCTTCAAAATGAAACCCAAAACCAAGTGGGAAAGTCTCTTGAGCATTTGATTGGTTTTTTTTTTTGGTACCAGGGATTGAACTTGGGACCTTGTGCTTGTCTTGAGCATTTGATTGAAGTTAAGAAGCCCTTGTTTCCCCCATGCTTAATGATTCACAACCTTGTCATAAATAATATCAGCACTTACATCTTTCACTTAACTAAAGACAACTGATCAGGGAAAATGCAATCAGATGCTCAAGTACTAGCACAGACTCTGTCTTACAAAGATGATGACTCTCAAAACTGAACTGACAGCTGCTGGCTTGTGCCCATACAACTGTGCAAAAATTGGATATGTTTCCTTGATAGCTGATGAATAAATGTTCAAATTGACTTTGAATTTTTGACTCTATGTCAAATAAAAATAGGTATTAAGTATTCCCTACCCCATTATTTAAGGTTAGTCAGGCACAATAAGTTAACAGGTGCATGTGTGTACATGTGTGTATGCAACACAAACACACAAGTGCACCATAAGCTGATAGAAAACAAAAATTCTGAAGTGGAAATAGGGTGTACTGACTTCTCATCTATGAAGAAGGCACATGAAACCCGGAAGGACAAGAGGCTTCAAACCTCACTCTAAATCATCCTATCTGCAAAACACAAACCAAAGTCATAATGAAGACTGTGCAGAGCACACACACACAGATAAGGACAGACAGATGAAATCTATGTGTCTTTTCTTGTAGACGCTGAGCTTCAGTAGGTGGTGTTAACAGGAATGGGTTGGAGACTTTATCTGAAATTTTTTACAATAAAGTTATGTACATGTATTGCTTGAATAATCCAAAAAGTGACCAAACACATAAAGAATAATAAGCAAAGTTAAAGAGGGCAGAGGAATGAAGTTTTCCTCACTGCCTAGAGGTCAGCTTAACAACAGCCTTCTGCTCTCACGATGCTCGCTGTGTCGTGGAGAGCCTGTGCTCAGCCTGGGCTGTCTCTGAGGAAAGCGCTCCTGAGAGCTCAGAAGCCCAGAATAGACATGGAAGAGACAGGGGGAGAGAGATGGCTATTCTTTCTATTTATGGAGAATCAACTAGGTATAGAAAGGGCCTGTTTGGTTTAAATATTTAGAAATGTTTAAAAAGAGAATAAAGGACCAAAGTTTGGCAGCATCCGACAAAAAAGAATCTACTTTAGATCCTTGTGAGAAGGGACTCTACAACTGATGGACAGAGGCAAGAGAGGAAGGAGAAGAGGGGTGGTGTGAATGAGAAGTCACACCAGACTGACACCAGGAATATGCGGGAGAAGCAAAGCATCAGATACCGCCTGTCATCCTGCTTTTCAGTGGAAATTAAGAAATACACCTAACAATCCAACTATAAATGGCACAGATGGAGCCATGTTAAGAAGATTCATGCAACAAGTGTAAAAGAAAATTTTTTTTGTATTAAATTCTTTTATTGGTACATTGTAGGTATACAACATAATTAATAGAAGAAAAATTAAGTCTAGGTTCCTGAAATTATTGGGACTCAGGGAGAGAAGCAGCTCATGAATGTTGAATTTTAAAAATCAGCCAAATGGCACGTTTTCATACCAAGTACTGATGTTCTTTCACCTCCATGCCTAGCACGGGGGAAAGAGGAGCAAGAGCAGCAGAAGTCGCAGTCGGTGCCTTTCCTCTGGAGACAGCTGCAGGCCTAAACTGGGAGAAGAGGGGAGTTGGAAGAGAGGACTTAGGACTTTGGAGGGACTTTGAGGGGCGACATTCTAGGATCCTGACGGTATTTGCTCTTGGGCTAATATGTAAGGAAGGTCACTAGACTTTAACCAACATTTGCTCTTTTTGACAGTTACACCTATACGGATGTAAAAAGTGACAACTGGCAGTGCCTTGTCCTGTTTCGCCATCACTGCCACACAAGAATGGCCCACCCTTTCTATCCTTTGGCTCCTCGAGTCACCTGGCAGTTGCTGCTGGAATGGGAGGTGTCACACTAATAAGGAAAAGCAATTTTTTAAAGGGGTTTTGTTTGGCTTGAAAAAGGACAAAACATGACAGAAATTGGGTTTGATGGTGAATCTATCCCATCTGCATGTTAGAACTACACAGAGCCTCATTTCTGGAACAGCCTGTTCCCCTTGAGGTGCGGCCTCTGTGACTCTGTATGGCGGGGGCTTCTCTTCTGGTGTTGGAAAGCCGGGCTCCTGATCCCTGCACTGCCATAATCCAGTTGTGGCGAGGCAGGTTTTCCCCCAGAGGGCAGTAACAGTGCCCTCTTCTAGGACTGTTGTGACAACTGAAGGAAAAAACCCCTCACCTGGTGTAGAGGAGCACTGACTACATGTTAGTACTACTACTATACTCTCCATCTAGCTGTATATCTACTTGAGCTTTTAGTATCTTGGAATTCAAAGCTATAATAACAAAACACTAGTAAAAAGCCATGTGGAGCGGTGCATTACTATATAATCCCAGCACCCTAGGAAGGGTGAGGCAGGGGGATTCCAAGTGTGAGCCCAGTCTGGGCAACACAGTGACTTAGTGAGACTCTGTCTCAAAATACAAAATACAAAATAAAATTGCTTGGGACAGAGCTCAGTGTGAAGGGCCTGGATGCAATCCCAAGTACCAGGAAAACAAAAACAAAAACAAAAAAAACAAACCTCCAAACCAAATAACCAAAACCAAAACACCTTGTAAAATGAATCATGAATTGATTATTCTCCTGTTACGTTTAACAGTATTTTCTTAGAACTATGTATATAAATGGATATGAAAAAACAAGGAAAAGAAAAATGGGGAAAATTTTTTCTTATGATATTAGCAAATTGATATTTAAATATGCCATTTGATAAGTTATTGAATGTCACTTTCGGTTTTGGTCTCTGAAACCACTTATGGTTGCATATTTTTACAATGATAAATGACTCAATTGCAATGCCTTGTTAATAAAAGCCACTACAAAAATTCATTCTGCTTATTGTTTCTATGGGATATGCAATACTTCCTCA